TCTCTCTCTCTCTCTCTCTCTCTCTCTCTCTCTCTCTCTCTCTCTCTCTTCTATCTATCTATCTAATCTATCTATCTCTCTCTCTCTCTCTCTTCTCTCCTCTCCTCCCTCTCTCTCCTCTCCCCCCTCCTCTTTCCCTTTTTAACTCCTTTTATTTCCCANAGAGGCGAAAGGCGGAGGCGGAAAAAAGCTTCGAGGTGCCGATGCGGAAGTAGAATTTGGGATGATGGGGGGGAGGCTAGTGAGGGGCTGGTGTTTTTAAGAGCATGTAGTATGAGTTGTGTAGTGCTGAAGAGATAGGGATGGCGAGGTTTATAGTTGTGGATGAGAACAGGGATGAAGTGATTCTATGATTTTTCCTCTCTCTCTGTCGGATTAATTCTCTTTAATCTCTCTCAATCTGGGTGACTCTCTCTCTCACTAACTCTGTCTCTCTCTTCTCAGCTCTCTTTCTCCTCTTCATCTCTCATCTCTCTACTCTCTCTCTCTGCTCTCTGCTCTCTCTCTCTCTCTCTCTTCTCTCTCCCTTGTTTATGTTTTCCCCCCTCTCTTCCCATTCCTCGGCCGGGGCTATCCCCCCTCCTCTCCCTCTCCCTCTCCCTCTCCCAATGGAATTCCCCTCCCTCTCCCTATTCCCCCTTCGTCTCCATTTCTCTGTCGAGGCATCGCCACCATTCCGTACTCCTTTTCTCCGGTTTCCTCTCACCCACCGTCCATCTTCGGCCTCTCTCATATTCCCTGCTCCTTCTGCTCTTCTCTCCGCTCTGAGCGTTCGTTATTTCCCCACCGATTCCGCTTTCCCATCTCGTCGGCCTGGCCCTCTCGTACGTTAGGAAGGAAACCTAAGGCATCCGCTCGAAACATGACGTAGTGGAAATTTGGAAGAGATAAAAGGTGTGGTGTCCGAAAATAATTGGTTTCGTTTTATTTATCAGCGATTTAAGGCCTCCAGCGCATCAGATGGAGTTGGAAAGCCATGAGACGAAAAAATAAGAAAAAAAAAAAAGAATAAAAAAAAAAAAACTACGAAGGAAAAGGGGATCAAGGAAACTTAGAAAAAAAAATTGAAAGGAAAGTATGAAGGAATTAGAAGAGAATAGGAGTGAGGGAGAAAAAGGAGAGCGATAAGGGTATTTGCGAAGAGCGAAGACGGAACGGAGAACGGAAACAAAGAAAATTGAAAGGAAACCTGAAGAGAAAATAGAATTAAAACGACTGGGGGAAAAAAAGTACGATATTTAGGAGCAAGGCTCGGGGGAAGAACGTGGGGGGCCTAATTGGGGGGGGGCCACGCGCATGGACGTCACCTATATTCACAAAAAAAGAGAAAAAATAAGAGGAAATTTAAGAAGAAAGAAACAATAAAAAATTAAGAACGACAAGAAGGGGAAATGAGAAAAAAAAAAACTAGGGAGAAAAAAGGATAGTATTGCTAGTGGAATTTATACCAACAAATGATGACGTCATGATTTTATCACAAAAAGAAAAAAATAAAAAATAAGAAAGAGAAAACAGAAAAATCAAGAATAAGGAAAAAGAAAAGCAAGAAAACAAGAAATAAATATTGCAAGTGCGAAATCATTGCAAAGGAGACGTCATCTATATCACAAAAGGAAAAATGGAAAAAATAAGAAGAAAAACCAAGAAAAAATCAAAGGAATCAAGAAGGAAAGAAAACAAGAAAGCAAAAAAAAGAAAAAGGAGATATTGCAAGTGCGAAATTATTCCAAAAGAAATGATGAACGTCACTAATATCACAAAAAAGAAAAAAAAAAAAATAAGAAAAGAAGAAAAATATTAAGGAAAAGAAGAAAAAAACAAAGAATAAATTACGGAATCAAGAAAGAAGCGAAAGAAAAAGAAAACAAGAAAAGAAAAAAAGAAGAAAAACGGCTCAGAATATTGCGAGAGAAGGTGCAATAAATCATTGCCAAAAGATGACGTTCACGATATCACAAAAAGAAAAAAAAATAAGAAAAAAAAAAAAATAAAGGAAAGAAGAAAAGAAAACAAGAAAACTCAAGAACAAGAAGGAAAAAAAAATCAAGGAATCAAGAAAGAAAAGAATAACAAGAAGAAAAAAGAAAAAGGAGATTTGCCAAGTGCGAAATCATTGCAAACGGATGACGTCACGAATATCACAAAAAGAAAAAAAAATAAGAAGAACAGAAGAAAGAAAAAAAAAGGAATCAAGAAAAAAGAATGAAAAGAAAACAAGAATAAAAAAAGAAAAGGAATATTGCAAGTGCGAAATCATTGCAAAAAGAAAAATGAACGTCACGCTATCACAAAAAGAAAAAAAGAGAAGAAGAATAAGAAAACAGAAAAAAATCAAGAATTAAAAAAGAAATCAAGAAAGAAAAAATATGGAATCAAGAAGAAAGAAAACAAGAAGGAAAAAAAAAAAGAAAAAGGAGATATTGCAAGTGCGAAATCATTGCAAAGGAATGACGTCACGCTATCACCACTTCCCGACGATGACCCACCGACTCCGCCGTCAGAAACAACACACAAATCTTCATCATTACGGCCGTAAAAAACGAAAAAAAAAGAAGAGAGAGAGAGAAGAGAGAAGAGAGAAAAAGGAGAAATAAAATAAAGAGAGGAATTGCATCACAACACGAAAACAGGACCGCTTAAAAAAAAAAAAAAAAAAAAAAAAAAAAAAAAAAAAAAAACACATATAAAATATACATACCCATGCATACACACTCTCTCAACACGAACAACATCTGGCTAACACGGCTGCGCAAAAAAGTAAATAAACAAACAACTTTTGAGGTGCGGCGGTATGGAGGGGAGGGAGGGGAAGGGAAGGGGGGGGGAGGGAGAAAGAGGGAAGGAAGGGAAGAGAGAGAGAGAGAGGAGGGAAAGAGAGGGGAGAGGGGAGGGAGGGAGGGGAGAAGGGGAGGGAGAAAGAGGGGGAAGGGAGTGGAGGGAGGAAGAGGGAAGGAAAAGGAAGAGAGAGACGAGAAGGAAAGAGAGGGAGGAGACGGGTAGGAGGGGTGGAGAGGGAGGGGAAGAAATGGAAGAGGGGAAGACAGAGAAGGAGAAGGGAGAGGGAAGGGAGGGGGAGGGAGAAAGGGAGGGAAGAGAAGAGAGAGAGGAGAGAGAGAAGGAAAGAGAGGGAGGAGACGGGAGAGAGGGAAGGAAAGGGAGAGGAGGGGGAGAGGAAGGAATTGAGGATGAAGAAGAGAGAAAGACACATCAGTACAAATAAACGAAATAAAAAAAAAGAGAAAAAGAAAATTAAAAGGAAACAAGATATACCAACAAAAGAGACAAACATCGAGAAGAAGACACAGACACAGAGAAAGAAGACGAGAAAGAGAGAGAGAAGCAAGAGGAAGCCAAACGAGGAAAGCCGAAGAAAGAGAGAGAGAGAGAGAAGAAAGCCAAACCAAAGAAGAAAGAGAAGAGAGAGAGAAAAGCCAAACCAAAAGAAAGCCAAGAAAGAGAGAGAGAGAAGAAAGCCAAACCAGAGGAAAGCCAAGACAACAAGACCTGAAAACTCGGCCGCAGGAACAGCGTCTTAACGAAATCTCAGAAGGAACGAGGTCGTGGACTCGAGCCTTGTCAACACAGCGCCGAGGGACAGAGGCGGCGGCCAGCCTTGGCCCGGAGAAGTGGAAGTGGATTGAGGCGGCGGTGAGGGAAGTGGAAGTGGATTGGGGCTGGGCGTTGGAGGGTGCGAGGAGGGGCGTGGAAGTGGATTGGCTGGCGGTGGAGGGAAAGTGGAAGTGCGATGTGGCTGTGGGGAGGGAGTGGGTGTGAGGGGTGAAAGTGGCCCCGGCTGGCGGTGGAGGGGCGTGGAAGTGGATTGGCTGGCGGTGAATGACGTGGAAGTCGACTGGCTTGGCGGTGGAGTGGTGGTGGAGAGCTTGGAAGTGGACTGGCTTGCAGCGGAGTGGCATGATGATAACATGGCGAGGTGGAGTGGAATGAAACGACAGTGGAACGACGTGACATTCGGTGGAGTGACGTGGCTCTGAGTGACGTGACTTTTGGAGTGGAGTGACTTTGCGATGGACCGGTGTGGTTTTAGGTGGACCCCGATATCGCAGTGGAGTGGTGTGGATGAAGATTGTGGAGTGGCGTGGCTGTAGGTGGAGACGGGCTACTTAATTATAGGAGGTGGCAAAGGAGGTGGAATGGTAGAGTACCAGATGGCTGTCGGAACTGTTGAAGTGGTGTTGAGGTGGCTTGAGATGGATTTGACGTGGATAGTGTAGGTGGAGTAGCATGGCTGTAAGTAATTGCAGAGGGCGTGAGTGGTTGTAAATGGAGTAGCATGGCTGCAGTGGAGTGGCGTGGCTGTAGGGGAATTGCAGTGGTTATAGGTGGAGTAATGTGCCGCAGTGGAGTGGTGTGCGTTGGAGATTGGAGAAGCACGGCTGCAGAGCATGTGCAGTGGAGTGGTGAAGTGGCTGAAGGTGGAGTGGCTGTGGGATGGAAGTGGTTGAGTGCGGTGTGGTGGCAGTGGCTGTAGGTGGAGTGGCTATGAGTGGAGTGGCTGTGGGTGGAGTGGCGAAGGTGTGGTGAAGGTGGCTTGAAGGTGGAGTGCTGAAGGTGATGGCTGTGGGTGGAGGTGGCTGAAGGTGGAGTGGCTGTGGTGGAGTGGCTGAAGGTGGAGTGGCTGTGGGTGGAGTGCTGAGCTGAAAGGTGGAGTGGCTGTTGGAGTTGGCTGAAGGTGGAGTGGCTGTGGGTGGAGTGGCTGAAGATGAGTGGCTGTGGGTGGAGTGGAGCCGAAGGTTGGAGTGGCTGAGGGTGGAGTGGCTGAAGGTGGAGTGGCTGAAGGTGGAGTGGCTGAGAGGTGGAGTGACGAAGGTAGGAGTGGCTGTGGGTGGAAGTGGCTGTGGATGAAGTGTGCTGTGTGGAGTGGCTGTGGCATGAAGTGGGCTGTGGGCTGAGTGTGGTCAGTGGCTTGTGGATGAAGTGGCTGAGTGGCTGAGTTGAAGTGGCTGAAGGTGGGTGGCTGAAGTGCCTGAAGGTGGAGTGGC